CCAAACAAAAGGATCACATTATTCAAACAATGAAATCCATTTTCAAATGATAGTCTTGGCAAATGCCATTCCAATTATCCATTTCAAGTTATAAATTCTTTTCCTGTTCATAGTCATGTTGTCCTTTTGAAGCATAGCCTTGCCATGTAAAGCAATCAATTATTCACTTCTTCCTTTATCACATTCAACAAGTTATTCAATCAATGGAGTACTTCATAACTCTTTGCTTTTCTAATTCACATTGCCCGTGGCTTATTTAAAAAGTCATCAAGAACTTTAGCGGCTTTTACTTTAGAATTAAAATATGATTTCAAAACTTCAAGCACACTGAAGATTCAACTTGGGATTTTGACTGACAATAGAGGAAAGTGCAATGTTCATAAAATTACAAAAAAAATTACAAAATTTCTCATTTCAAAGAATATAAATGTGGAAGTAAAATAACAATTTATGACAATTACATCAATGTCAATGTGAAGGAGTACTATGCAGAGCATGGACAGTATAGCCATCTTCTGTAGAACCAAGCATTCATTCTGGCAAGTTGAGCCTCTTTAACATGTTACTTCTTGAATCAAAGATAAAAAAGAAAGTGAGTCTGTAAGTGTGCTGTTGAATCTGAAGTCACATCTAGAATGAGTTTTACTCACAATAGCCTTATAAGAAAACTTGTTTCCCAAGAAATCTATTGCACAAGCAAAGGAAAATATTTTATGCATCGTCATTACTTAGATTTGTAGTTATGCTGTTCAAAAAGATGATATGTTTAGATCTTTGATCTTCACTGTAATAGGAAGAGGAGCTATTCATTTTTTCATTGATGTATTAGATTTGGTTTTGGTACTTGAAATTTTGCTTCCAATTTTGGAAACAAAATACTGCTGGAAGCAATATATTCAAACCATCTGTTGAGTTGAGAGACTAATGAAAATAGTGTAGAAGGTCATTAAATGTGTGCTGTGCTTGTTTTATCATCTTAATCCAAATGTAAAAAATTGTATTTTAAAATTCACTTTCTTTAGTATTAGCTAATGAAATTATACATTTCTCCTGCCCAGTTTTGAGTATTTGAACATACACCCACAAAACAAACCAACTACCATCAAGTCAATTCTGACAAATAATAACCCTATAAGATTCTGTAGTAGCCCACCAAAATTACCCCCAACTTAGATAGCCATGTTGACAATGTAACCATACTGTATTAATTAGCCTGCATGTTGCCATTTTGTATGGACCCCAAGTGTGACCACTTTGTAACTATTGTAATTCCCTTTGTAACTTCTGAAACTGCTGACCCACTGCATTTATTTTTGAAATTGCTGGTGTTGCTTGTAAACCCCTGTTTTAGTTTTTATAAGATCCTCTTTTTCCATAAAGCATGGCACCACCTGCCCTTGTGCCTTGTTTATCCCACAGTATAAAAAATTCTCTCTTTAAGCACTAGGGTTGAGGGAGAATTAGGCTCTAGCCGCCCCTTGACTGCTGGCTAATAAAGGCTTATTAACTTTAATTAAGGCTGTGTGTGGGTTACTTGATCTCTCTCGGGTACTACAATAAAGTAGAATTGCTCCGTAGCGTCTTTAAAGCTATAAATCATTACTGGAGGAGATAACCAGGTCTTTCTTCTGCAGAGCAGCTGGTGAGTTCCAATGGTCAACCTTGCTGTTAGCAGTACAATGCACAGTCCACTCTGTCATCAGAGATCCTTCCAGGGTAGCCTCTATCTGACTTTTCACCATTTTCCATAGGGAATGAACATTTGAATACTGTACAAAGCATTTGAAGAAAAATTCATCACAAAATTTCCCTGTGCATTTTGGCATTATGGGATCAAATAAAACCGAAAACAAACAAACAAAAAACACCACTATCACAAGTATTGAATTTGAAAATCCACCATCACATCAATGTGTCTGTCAATCGTTTAAGAATGATCAAGTAAATAAACAGGAGTTGAACACTTAAAACAATCATAAAGTTTAGAAGTAACAAATTGAAACCATATCTGTTTTTTTTTTTAAGTTAAATTCCCATTTTCTTCAAAGGAGAATTGTAAGTTGTAAGATGAAGCTTTTCTCCTACAAAGCCAGATCTACTTTGATATAAGGTCTTGGTTAGCCTGGGGATTCAGGGATTGGTTCATGTTCAGAAGGAAGCAGGTCTAGGGACTAAGGGACTTACATCTGTGTTCCCATGGGGGTCGAACGACAGGGGTCACCTAAGAACATTAGAAAATATATATTTCACAATAATAAATATTTCACAATATATAATTACATATTGTTTTTGTGATTAATCACTATGCTTTAATTATGCTCAATTTGTAACAATTAAAATACATCCTGCATATCAGATATTTATATTATAATTCATAACAGTAGAAAAAGTACAGTTATGAAATAGCAATGAAATTAATTTTATGGTTGGGGGTCACCACAACATGAGGAACTGTATTAAAGGTTCGTGGCATTAGGAAGGTTGAGAACCACTGGTATAGACTGGCTGACTTTCTAAAGCTTAGCTCCAGGAAAGAAGAGCTTGCTGACTGGATGGTGTCAAGAAGTGTGATTCTGTCACTGATTGGTTAACTTTAAAGATGGGATAGTTAGAGTTTGGTGTAGGCTGTAGGGTGTAATCACTGACTGGTGAACTTTTGGAAGTCCAGCCTGTCATTGGCTTGTTAACTAAATATATGTATATATATACACACACACACACACACACACACACACACACACACACACGCACACACATATGTATATTTATTGGAGTGAGGCTGTCATTGACCAGCTGATTAGACTTATTGGAAGTTATATCTAATTAATGGTGGTTGTTTATTTTCAACATGAAGAAGAAGTCCTCTACCTTTTCTTGAGTTCTTAGCATCAGTGGGCTTCCAAGACAAGGCACAGATAGAGAACATCTTCAGAGAGTTGAAATGCTCTAAAGGATGGGTAGAAGTTAGAGGCAAGTGATTCTGGTTCTGGGCTCACTGTACCACTAGGAGCAGCGGATATATTCCAGATGAGCAACTCAGGTTCTAGTTTGGGTAGGAGGTCATGGTGAAGCAGAGCCAGGGGGAAAGATGATGTAATTGAAAAAAAGAGTGGAGCTGGATAAATATGGCAGCCCAGGGTGGATGATTCAGCTCTCAAGAATCCTGGGGCTAGGGGAAGCAGGACTCTAGGTAAATGAAGCTCTCAGACAATCCCCAAGTTGTCTTTGAGTTTCACTTTCATCTTCCTTCTTTATACTTGCTTTGCTCACGGTCCTTCTTGCTATGCCCTGGGAGGCATTATGAAGTAGTGAAAAGATAGAGATGAATACAGAGACAGAAATCTGCTTCAGGTTGGGAAGAGTGGAACAGAGTGGACATTAGAAGAATTTGAGACCAGAGATCTAATCCCAGCTTCTACTTTGGAGTGCTGTAGTCTCGGGAACATCCCCAAGATCTCTGAGTCTTACTCTGATCTGTGAAATGGGCATGATAAGTTTAGTCTTCTAGGACTGTTGGGATCTGTGTAATGGTTTTGTAAAGCACCTGACATAGTGACTAGCATGCATTGAGTTTTAAGTTATGCTACAACTATTTGGACCTAAGAACTCTTAACATCTTTATCTTCGGGATTTATTTATCTAGAGATGATAGAGAATGTCAGTGTTCTGGGACATGGTAAACAAAAGTAGCCACAAATGCTACCTAGCAAGAAAATGGCAGTGAAATCTTCCCCATTGGAGAATAGAGTTTTTAAAATTCAAGTTTGAGGGAGTATTTCATAATTGGATGCAACTCAAAATCCTGGCATTTATATCAAATACCATCTCCTTCCTTCTCTCCCACTTGCCTTCCCAGGCAATTCACCCATTTTATTCATTCACCCCCAACAAAAATCTAGACCTTGCTTAGTTTGCCAAATTATACCGCATAGCCCCTAGAATAAACGGGCTTTGGTTTTGTCCAGGGAAAAGAAAACTGCCCAGTGGCTTCTGTGTATCTCACCTCAAGAAAGTGTCCCTCTTCATTTTTCAAAATCTCCTTGAAATTGATGTGCACAAAACACCTCCTTTGAATAGTGAGTGGGTTCAACTGCATTGGGCCAAGAACACAAGATACCTTCAGTTCTTGTCCCAAATAGGATCTGGTTTACCCACAACTTCTGGGTAACTGCAAAGAGCAATCTATTGTCCAAGGCTTGTTCTCAGTTCTCAAGCATGCTGTGTGTAGACCCTTGTTCACTAAGGCCACACCCTCATCCAGCTCATCCCCCAGCGTAATTTCACATTAAATCCCCTCACTGCAGGATTTTCAGTTTCTCAAGGTCCCAGCCTGCCCTTCCAGAGATTTACTTTACTGCTCTCAGATGATTGCCTCCCACCACACCTCCTTACTCCTTTTTATTGTTTCTAATGCTCTTAAAGGATACTTACTGCAGTCTTTTATTGACTGCTGCTCCTAGATGCTAAAATTCCATGGGCAGGTGCTGAGTCTTGTTTATCCTAACATCCCCAACACCAATACAGTGCTTCCTAGAGAGCTGATACTCAATTAATGTTTAAGGAATAAATGAGCCAGTGAGCATGAGGTTTCATTTACTAAGATTTATTTCTCATATGTTAAGTAAGCAAATCTCTGTATGTATCATTTGACTTTACAGAATTGGAGGCTAAAAGTGCTAAGCAAAGAATTGGCTTTTAGTATTTTTCTATAGTTTTTGAAAATAGTTGAGAAGCTATTTTACTGCCGGTTCTTTCACACTACTAAAGCAATGATTACTTTAATGCCATTTCCTTTTTATTCCAAGTTACAATAGAACGGGTTTCCTAAACAAGCAAAACCCTGTATTCATAAAGCTCACAAAGAGCAATTAATCGTATGACCAAAGTCATTTATAAACTTATTATAAAGCCAGTGAATCAATACGGCCTCACTGTGCACCTCCCTAACTTAGAAGGTTGTTTCCTTCGAAGACAAAGAGAAGAATCTGCCTCTGATTTGACTACAGGTGGGAGAAGCTGCTGGATTTGGTACTGAAATTTAAACTGGCCATACCTTCAACTTCAGCCTGAAGTCTCTCTACCTCATCTTTTAAAGCTTCCTGATACTGCAATGGGAAGCACCTTGGACTACACTTATGGATCTTGGTTAAAAACCCCACAAGTTTCATCTTGCTGACTTCAGCATGGGCTCTTGGACCCCAGAGGAATTATTAACATGGAGGATCACTGTTGGGAACCTGATAATACTCCAGGTACTTTTCCTGCACCAAATCTTCAGTGATGAGCTTCCTGGGTTCCCCAAAGATGAAATGCTTCCTCCCAAAATAGAGACCCATCATATTCAATACTTCCCAGATCTCTTCATCATTGGCACAGTTTCCCTTCATGAAGATCACACCTAGGGTAACGATCCAGAGGCTTATCTTGGGCATGCCACCATCACTACTCAGCCTTGCATCAAAGGTGAGACCAAACTTATTGACAGGATCAAAGCAGTGGTTGATGGGGTCTATTTCCATCAGATCAATGCCAAAGACCAGCTCCATTTGCTTGGAGGCAATCTTGAGAATCTCAAGGAAGTCATCCTTGAATTCTTTGATAACAATATCAAGTGTTTCCTCCTTTTTGATTGGCTCCTTCATTTGATACTTGTACAGCAGGAACTTCACCATCAAATCTACTTTCTCTTCTAGAGGATCTGTGGGTAGGTCTTCAATATCTGGTGGTGACTGTGAGGTGTTGGAGATCTCATTGGATTTGCCTGATGAGGTGGTTGTGATGGCAGTAGAAGCGGAGCGGCCACACTGAGGTTCTTGGAGGGTACTGGGTATACCAGAAGCAAGAATCTCCTCCATGTTGCCAAAAGACCCTAAATGAGGGGAGGAGAGACGGATGTCCTCCAAAGCTTTCACGATCTGGCCAACATCCGTACCCTCACCCTCACTGCAGGCCTCATCTGTACTCTTGGGATTTTCCTGATCCTGAGACATGATGACTATTTTTAATGGCAGCAGGCAAGAGTGTGTGTACAACCTAGAGCGAAAAGGAGAATCTGAATGGCCTCAGCTGGTAAACGTAACTGTGAGAACTTTGATGAAGGCTGCTTCTGCTTGTCTTCTCCTGAAGGCAATGCTTCTGAGCTTCAAAGGGTTTCTGTCCTATTTTATAAGATGCTGAAGAGGATATAAGAAGACTCTTCAGGGTTCTGCCAGCCAAACCAATTCAGGGTTTCACATAATTGGCAATAGGACAAATAAGACTAGGCTTTGTGGGGTCCCCTCTATTTTCCCCACCACTTCCTCTTGGTCTGTCCTTGTTCAGAATCCTCAGTGTGACTCGTGGGAGGATCTGGAACTTCTACTTCTACTGACCAAAGTCTTATCAACTCAGAATGAGATCCTAACCTCCCAGGAATACCCAAGGAAGAAAGAAGTAAGGGGGAACCTCAGACTGAAACTCTCCCCAGAGCCTGCCAGAGAGGAAAACCAAAAGAGGGACAAACACTACTGGACAGGAAGTGAGTGGGCCACTCATGAAGTCATACCTGCCTAGATCTCCCAGGGCGAACAGCTGGTGGCAGGGCTCTGTAGAGGCTGTGTTGTTCTAAAAGGTATAATCCTCACTGTTCTCACTTTGACCCCTAACTGAGATTGGTATACTCTCTGCTGATGTAAGGTAATGTTCCTTATGAGGCCCTTATTTACCTGAATCTCTCTGTCAGGGAGCACCTTGGTGTGACAGCTATGATGGAATATCAAAGTCCAACAACAGGGGTGGTCTTGTTTAGGGCTCTACTGTTCTGGAGTAATGGTCCCCTCAGTTCCCATTCAACATCTTGCTTTGACTCTTAAAGGGACCTGGGATTCCTCCGGTTGACTTGAAGATACACCACTCAAACGAAGACCCTAACCAACCTCGGGCTCTTAAGGCAAAAACCAGTGGAAGACCATCCCTTCCTTTTCAGGGCCACCAACAGAATTCTGGGGGCTCCCTCCCCTTTCATGGACGGGTTCTGATCTCTGTTTTCACTCTGTAGCTTACCTTGATAGCTGGCAGGGCCCGGGGCACCTCCCTCTGGTTCGTTAAGGCAGCACTACCCATATAACTCTTCACCTCCCTGCAAAAACTAAGGAAGAAATCAGGGAGTAATGCAGTTTCAGGGTTGATAGTAGGGGTCAAGCTCGTATCGGGTAGGTGGTCCTCTCAGTCGCCTCAGCTCATTACCTTGAAAGCTTCGTCTCCTGGGTCAAGGCAGCCACTTCCCTGAGATTTCTGAGGTGAATTGTGGAAAGCCACGCCCAACCAGCCCCTGCCTCCACTGAGCACCTGAAAAAGAGCTCTTTGGAGCCCCTCCTTAATGGGGTGAGTGGTTCCGTCAGTCCACATTCAGCATCATACCTGGACACTTGGCAGGACCCAAGACTCCTCCCTCTACTGATCTACAGTCTCTCGCTCTGAACAAAGGCCTCCCCACCTTCAGATTGCCATGGCCAAATGAAGGTGTTCCAGAGTGTGGCGGTTATTCTAGAGGATGGGACCCCAGAGCTAACAGAAGGGATGGGATTCTAATCTGTGAGTGATTCCCACATTCTTCACTAAAGGGTCTCTTCAGACCACTCCCGAGACTCTCCTTTCTGCTGACCTGAGATCCAAGTCCTTGGTCTTCACAATAGAAACTGTCAAGGAGGAAGTTAAGGGACACTACTTCTGCTCCCTCTAGTAGGGGAGGGAAATGGGGGCAGGTCAAGTCTTTCCAGGGCAGAGCTTCATGCGGCTCCCTATGTTGTGGCATGGGTAGGCTTTAAAACTCCATTGAGGCTGTTTATGTGGACACCAAGAAGTATTGGAGAATTCTAACTCTCCTGACCTAGCTACATTCCATAGATCGAGCGTTCAGTGCCTTTAGACTAATGAACCTGAAGTGAGCGGAAGTTACTTTTGACCACCCCTGTCTGACTGCAAGGGCAGGAATCTGTGGGTGGCCCTCCCTTAAAAGTCTCTATCTTGGTTCCTCTTTTTCAATAAATGCTTCCTGGAGTATGCCAGCTCCCACCCAAGCTCTTGTGCATCTGTCCTTTTGCAGTTCTCACAGAGATTGAATCAAGGCCAGGTGCTCAGTGGGGAAGCTGCAGCACAATAGGGCTAGTATAACTGCTGGACTGTGAGAGAGGAGAGGGGAAAAGCACACCTCTTCTCCAATCTACTGGGAACTTTCTGTTTCCTTTGTACAGGTGTAAATACATGTTATGTGATCTCGCCTATGCTTTTGGAAATACTGTATTCCTTCATAAAATCATGAAATAAGGTGATTTAGGAGCCAGCATGGGCCCACCAAGTAAAAGTGATGACAGAACACACACATATGGTCATTTTCTAAAGGGGTTATATGGAACACAGAGGAAGGTACTCAAGTTTTTGCAAGTGATTTGTTACTGATCAGAGTTAAAATATTAAAGTGGTGCTTTTTGACTTCTTAGTGGAAAAAATTCACAAACAATATAGCCAAAACAAATTTCTCTCTTGACTTATCTTCATATCCCTCCATCATGCACAACACTATATAACCTTACTTTGAGTTCATTTTTTTTTGTTTTTAAAAATTTTTAAGTCATTTTATCGGAGGCTTGTGCAACTCTTATCACAATCCATACATACAACCATGTGTCAAGCACATTTGTACATTTCTTGCCATCATCATTTTCAAAACATTTTCTTTCTACTCGAGCCCTTGGTATCAGCTCATTTTCCCCATCCTCCCTCACAAACCCTTGATAATTTATAAATCATTATTATTTTTTCATGTCTTACACAATCCGATGTCTCCCTTCAACCACTTTTCTGTTGTGTGTCCCCCAGGGAGGGGGGTATATGTAGATCATTGTGATCGGTTCCTCCTTTCTCCCCCCACCTTTCCCTTACCTGCCTGGTATAGCTATTCTCATTATTGGCCCTGGGGGGTTTATCTGTCCTGGATTTCCTGTGTTACCAGCTCTTATCTGTACATCCTCTGGTCTAGCCTGATTTGTAAGGTAGAATTGTGACCATGATAGTGTCGGGAGGAAGCATTACAAACTAGAGGAAAGTTGTATGTTTCATCGGTACTATACTGCACTCTGACTGGCTCTTCTCTTCCATGTTACCCTTCTGTAAGGGGATGTCTAGTTGCCTACAGATGGGCTTTGGGTCTCGACTCCACACTCCCACTCATTCACAGTGATATGATTTTTTGTTCTTTGATACCTGATGCCTGATCCATTCGACACCTCATGATCACACAGGTGGGTGTGCTTCTTCCATGTGGGCTTTGTTGCTTCTCAACTAGAGGGCCGCTTGTTTATCTTCAAGTTTTTAAGCCCCAGATGCTATATCTTTTGATAGCTGGGCACCATCAGCTTTCTTCACATTTGCTTATGCACGCACTTTGTCTTCAATGATCATGTCGGGAAGGTGAGCATCATGGAATGCCAGTTTACTAGAACAAAGTGTTCTTGCATTGATGGAGTATATTTGAGTGGAGGCCCAATGTCCATCTGCTACCTTAATATTAAACCTATAAATGTATGCACATAGATCTATTTCCCCACTGTCATATATAAATATATTTACATATGTCCATGCCTGTATTTAGACCTATATAAATACCTTTTTCCTCCTAGTTCTTTCCTCTGTTTCCTTTTACTTTCCTCTTGTCCGACTATCATGTTCAGCTGTCATTTGAGTTTCAGTGATTCATCTCGGTTACATTGCCCTTGATCAAGCCCTACAAGGCCTCCTACAACTCCTCACCACTGATTTTGGATCACTTGTTGTTCCCTTATCCTTGGATTTGTCAACACCCACTTCCTTTCCCCTGCCTCCCTCTCTCCCATGTTGCCCCCAGAACTGTCAGTCCCCTTGTTTTGTCCTCCAGATTGTATATCCTGCCTATGTTATTTAGATAGACCCACAGAGATAATAATATGCACAGAAAACAAAACAGAGCAAAACATACAAATGAAAGAAAGCAAAGCTACAGCAAAACCAACGACAAAGAAAGAAAAGCCTGTAAATAGTACCAGGTCTGTTTGTTGAAATTTAGGAGTATTTTCCTGTTGAGTCTGATGGGGTGGCATACCCTAGACTCAAAGTCTATTTTTGGTATTCACTGGGGACTTCATTGCTCTGCTCCCCTTGCTGTTCTGTTGCATGCCCTTAGTGTTTCACCTCAGTTTGGTGGGGTCAGATCAGGCACAATTCCTGTACTGTGTCTCCAGTGTTGTCCCCTGTAGTGCTATGGGTCAGTGAGAGATGTCAGGTCTTGTAGTGGGGCCAGGCCTATGGTCCTCTCTCTGCATTGGCTGCTCTGAGTGGGAATATAGTCCTCTGGGCTTGGTGAGCAAGGATGCGTTCCACTCTCTCTTCCTCCCTCTTCATTTGCTCCTGTGTGCTCTGATCAGATGTGTCTCTCCCTGAGCTGTAGCTCCAGTGCTGTTCTCTGAAGTGAATTCTTCTGTGGGAAGGGGGGCTGTCCACGTAGCTGGGATTGGGGCAGGTCTCTCAGACCTCTCTATTGGTTCCCTGCTTCATGCAGGTATGCTGCATTCACATCTTGGTGCACTAGGTTGAAGTCTGGTCCCTCTTTCCCTGTGGAGATATAAACAATACCCTCCCCTTTGGTGGGTTAGTACCCTGTTCCCTGCTACCCATGTTTTTTTTTTCTCTATTCCCCCCTCCTTTTTAGTTAGCTACCATATGTATCCCTGCATTTGTTCTGGCCCCTGGCATACTACCTGGACCTTAAAAATGCAAAAAGGTCATAGGGAAAAAGCTACTGTATACAAACATCCCTGGGTTGAGTTCATTTTCTATGCAATCAAATGCATTGAATATTCCACAAATGTAAAAATAATGTATCTATAGTTTTTTCTATTTTCCTTTTCTCAACCAATTAATAATATACATTGAAAAGGGTTCCATATTAGTATACTTAGTGTCCATAAAACTTGTAAAC